GGGGTAGTTTTGATTTCTTTGATTCTATATGTTTTTTGGGGTGCTGAATCCGAATCTGAGGTTTGCTAACAAAATTTCATGACGCAACATTGAAAAAAATACAAAAAAAGTTGAATAAGATATTTTTTTAGCAGTTTTGTGCTTACAACTCGAAAACTATCAACTTTTCGAAAATAACCTCCCTATCTTATATCTTATCGGCGTGGTAAAGAGTGTAACGTTAATGATGGCAGAGATATACATAGTTTGTAAGTATGCCTTTGCGGTTAGCAATTTGTCAAGACCTTTAAAGCCGCAAATAGTGTCCGCCAACTTCAAAAAACCTTCACGATTCTTTAAGAACCTGCCCTATGTTCGTGTGTATCTGTGACCACAGGGACCCGCTTTTAATAACTTCCTTACGACGAATGAGTAGCTTCAGTGTTAAATTAAAACAATTATGGCTCAACGTACCTCCTATCATATCATACCACTGTAATAATACGAATATTAAGGAATTCGAATTGTGCAAACTTTGCGCTTTAATTTTGTTTCAGCGACATCTAACGCATAAATCCATAAGCGTCATATTACAGTTTTAAACGATACATGTTTATACTGCTCCGCAATAGAGGGCGCTTTTAAGTATACCTAAATTTGTTTCCCAAAAAATGCATAAGGTTAGCAATCTGTGTATGTGTAGATCTGTGACATTACTAACTCGACATCCAGTAATAACCCAGGCGTTGAGGGCAATATAAATTGTTTCATTACAATCAATGTTAATGTTTGAAATAAAGAATTACAGCCAAATTTATGTTGGGGTTTTTAATTAATTGTGTGAAGATGTCAAATTTGATGTATACAAATACCTAACAGTCCGGTAAGTGTTGCTTAGCAATACCTACTTACCGGCTCTGATGCTGTAATAACTCACCTACCGGACTCAAAATGATAGTGTAATCGAACATATACCGGACAGTATGAAATAATCGTATTTTACCAGACTGAAACTTTTTACCAGACTGGAAATTTTTCCTAGCAACCGCAACTGACATCCATCTAAACGTATTCAAACTACTTTCAGATCAAACAAATCAAGTGATCGACTTTTGCTTTTATTTTAATGTGTACCTACAACATTCTAATCAAAATGGTATTTTAATAGAAATAGAGCAGTATGAAATAAAATGTTTTACAGTATTTGTATGTTAAATCAGTTAACGTTACTCGTTTCGAAATTCCTGCCTCAGCTACGCTTGGCAGTAAACAACTCACTCGTTAACGTAAACCTTGATTTACCATACTCATATGTAAATAACTATTACATAAGTCAGGAAAATGACACATTACTGACGAGGAAATATTGAAGTGCGAGGCCATTTGAGGGCGAGTACTTTAAATTCCGAGTTAAGTGATGTCATTTTACTGACGAGTTTTGTATTAAATCTTACCCGAAATCGTATTTTAATATAACATTTCAATTTGTATATAAAACTTTTGATTCATGTAAATCTGTCAGTGATGACAGGAGTCATTATAGACATTAGAAATGTCACAAATGCGGTCAGTAAAGTGACAAGCGGTAGGAAACGTAGTCTGCTCTGCCTCTGTCATGGAAACTCAAATTTCCTGACAGAAAGTAGGCATGAAAATGAAGGTTTCAAAACAATTTTGAGTAAAACAAATATTCTATGAATTTCGGTATTTGCACCCCAACAAATAATGTTGTAATTTAAATGGGAATACACTACTGCGTAATACACTTCGATAATGTGTGTGGTGTCAAATTGTTTCCTTATACGGGGTATAAGGTATTAGTCTTGAGAATATTCGACGTTCTGTTGTTAATTTGTTGCTATTACATTTTATTTGAATTCAGTTACCTAGTAAATTTGTTATTTTATGTTCGATTATATCAAGATCGTACATGATTAAAAAATTCTTTCTGTTATGAGCTGGAAACAAACGATTAATTTCGAAATATTGAATCGATACCAAAAATCCAACAGTAATGCACATAAAGAGTATTATAAGTCATTAAAAAATTATGTTCAATCCGCAATTCAGCGGGAAAAGCATGCCTATCTTAACAGTTCTTCATTATTGTCTTGTAATAGTCGGCAACTGTGGCGAAGACTGTGTAACTTAAATATTGTGCAATCTCGAAAAATGGACTTTCCTTTGCAAATTGGCACAGCGAATGAAATCAATAATTTTATGGTAAATTCTATAGGTAAGTCGTCACCAAATCTAGACGTAATTGGAAACTATATGAGTTGTCGTCATCCACATGTTAAAAAATTACTAGATTTGCATAAAAGAATAGAACACGAAGTGTTAGAAATCATAAATTCAATCAAAACCCAAGCATGTGGAGTCGATCAAATAAACATCCTGCTTATTACATTATGTTGTCCCTACATTATTAAATATATCACGCACATTATAAACTACTCCTTTGAATGTAATGTATTTCCCACCTTATGGAAGAAGGCAAAGGTAATCCCACTACCCAAAGTTTCTAATCCTACAGCTTTGACTGATCTCCGCCCCATCTCTATTTTGCCAACATTATCGAAAGTGATTGAGATAATAATAGTCCAGTCAAATAAGAAAAAATAAAAACATTAATCGGTAAAGATCTGAATTTTGGTATACATGTTCATTAGTGTTCCCTATTGGACATACTAAAAGTCCCCGTCAAAATCTGTTGCGCTCGAGGCGCCATCCTGGAAAAAAGGAGCACTTCTTCAGTTTCTTGCCTATATATCGGCAACAATAATTGATACGGAAAAATAGTTCAGATAAAAAATATAGTTTATTAAATTGCCCATAAAAAAGCATATTAACATTTTTCTGTATGCCCAATACTTTAGCTATAATCCGACATCGAATAGGGAATCAAGTATCCTGAGCTCTCGAAACAGTCGCGCAGATATTTTTTTACAACTTTTTACAAATCATTAAATTCATTGAAAATTCTACCAGTATTTCTTATATATGCGAAGTCGTCGCACTCAAGCTTGGTATGAGACACGTTTAAAAGGTTTCTCATAAAACTCTCTCTCAATAGAACTTTCATCTTCAATGTGAGCACTGAGTGTGGACTGGGAGCCTTCAGTGCAGTCCGAACAGGGTCAAGGTTATTCTGAAGGTCTGATAACGATGTCGGTTTTAATATCTCTCACTAACAGGCACGTTATACTTATGCAGATAGGGCGTTCTTCAGCTTCAGAAATCATTTCGTTGCTCCAACACTTTTACACATTTTCGCTTACCTTTTTGAAAAAAAACATGATGTATCATCAAACATTATGTCATTGCTAGAATGCTTTATCGCACGACGATTCTGTTCATTTTTTGGCTCTGTTACAGCTATCGGTGTAGTCATAAAAAAGACGGCCCTCCTTCTATAACTACGATACGGGGCCTAAACGCGTTCTGACGTATTCAACGTGAGATTACAGCTAAAGTACTGGAGATCCAAAAAAATGTAAATACTCATTTTTATAGGGAATTTAGTAAACTATATTTTTCATGTAAACTATTTCTTCGTGTCAGTAATAATTGCCGAGAGATGGGCAAAAAACTGGAAAGTGTACCGTTTTTCCAAGATGGCGTCTCGAGCGCAACAGATTTTGACAGGGACTTTTAGTATGTTCATTAGAAAGTCCCAATAAATGTGTATACCAAAATTCAGATCTTTACCGATTAATGTTTTTATTTGTCCAAAATTGCGCTAATTTGACT